GAAAGGCAATGGATTTGGCTACAGAAAAGAGGTGATTCGTTCTCCATTTGGTTTTGGTTTGGCTTTTGGTTATTTTTGTTTGTGTTTTCTAGTTTGTTTTATTACAATGCCTTGGCCAGGGCTGTTCTCTCACTGTTTGTTTTGTGAGGGCAGAGTTATGAAGGACTTTATTTTCTGTCTCCTTCATAGCACTTTTCTTTTTTCTTTTCTTTTAATGTTCTATTTTATTTTTGAGAGACACAGAGACAGAGCGTGAGCAGGGGAGGGGCAGAGACAGAGAGGGAGACACAGAATCCGAAGCAGGTTCCTGGCTCCGAGCTGTCAGCACAGAGCCTGATGTGGGGCTCGAACCCTCGAAGGTGAGATCAGGAACTGAGCCGACCCAATGAGCCACCCAGGAGCTCCCATAGCACTTTTCAATGAAAGAAAAGAAGCCGGTGGAGGGAAGATAGGGATTGGAAAACAGAGAACCGAGCCAGTGATCTCTGAAGCAGAAGAAATGTTGTTGACAAGATAGGAAAGAGCAGGGCTTCCAGATGAGTCGCCTTACCAAAGCAGCTTTGCTCCCTTCTTCCTAAAATGCATACTCCTTGGGCATTTGTCCTAAAGGATGCCACAGTGGAACAGGAGCCACAAACAAGTAGCCAGATCAGAGAGTCCACTGGGTAGATGCCACAGCAGTCACCACACAGCTTTATTGGAGCTCAGAGGGAAGAGCACTAGCCTTGATGAGGAGGACTAACAGACTACGGGGCTCTGAAGCTTGAGGAAGATGAGGGCTCCAAGGGGAGAAAAAGTATTTTGACTAGCCAATGGAAACACACACATACACACACACACACTCATGTATTCAGACTTGAGAGAACATCCAGTTAAAGCTTAGGGAGGGTGGGGTCAGTCTCTAGAGATGATCCTGCAAAGTTTTCAAGGGCCATAGTAGGAAGAGTGTCGTCCGTTAGGCTAAGAAGTGATTTGTGAGCAAAAATGGATCGTATCTAGCAGGGAAATTCCAGTGGGACTATGGGGAGGCGGCAGAGAAAGAGGAGGAGGAACACAACAGTTTGGAAGCCACAGCAATAACTAAAAGCTATAAATGAGAAGAGCCAAGGCAGCTCAACTCTCGCAGAAGTAGTGGAGACACTTAGGAATGGAAATGGCTGAGCTCTGTGGATGCCTAAATGCCCAGGCCCAAGAAAATAAGGGAAGAATTGAGGGGAATCTAGGTTTCTATCTTGGGAAGCCGGTTGCGAACGATCAAACAAGGGAGGAAAAATTAGGGTCAGGGTCTGGGTGGATTGAAGCTCTTGACAAAAAAACGGGACTAATGCACCTCCAATGGGGAGCTGAAAAGGAAAGACCACCTTCCTGCTGAAGTACATTATTCATTTACTCAACAAACACAGAGCATTACTGTGTACCAGGCAGGCACTGTACTAGGACTTGGGGTTACAGCAGTGAGGAAGGCAATAGCTCCTGTCCTCGTGAAGTCTATGGTGCCCTGGAAAATACTGGTGATGGTCAGACATATCATACATAATCCCGAGGCCTATGATAAATACCTTATCTGGATAATCCCACTTGTAATCCTCATCAATTTAACAGGCAGGTACCGTGACTATCCCCATTTTAAAGAAGAAACAGGTAAAGTGAGGTCAAATAACCTGCCCGGCTAAGAGCAGCAGAGTCAGAACACAAACCCAGGAGACTGAGCGCTAAGGCCCACTTTCTTAACCTCCACACACGACCGAGGTGAAAAACAGGCTGGCGTTTCCAAGCAGATGAAAGCGAAGGCTACGAAAACCTTTGCGACCCCGTGAAACCTATAAGCCCCTCTTCTCTCAGTTATCAGTACAGACTTCATTTCAAAGCAATTTGGATACTTAAAATAATCTCTTGCTTTCTCTTTCAGAAAAAGCAGCTTTTCCTGAGTTTTGTGGCAGTTTTACAGACACCGCAGGCCAGGGTGCAGCCAGGCTCCCTGGGGAACTCTATCTGCCCAGATCTGGTGCTCACTTCTGGGTGCAGAGTCCTTCATTTGAAACATGTTGAGCCTCTTCAATCTATCACACACACTCTGTCAAAGTTCCATGTCATCAACCCCCTAACACTGATGGCTTCCATCGCATCTTCTGCCAATGAATGCAGTTTGTGCTGGAAAAAAAAAAAAAAAGTCTATTTTATAACTCCAAGGACATTAATAATTAACTTCCATACCACAAAACTTGTAATATCAGTTTGCTGAAATAAAGTCACCAGTAAGTATGTAATTCTTCTTTAAAGGGTGTCTTCTATTATTATTATTTAGAGTGCAATTTAGTCATCAAAGGTTTACTCAGCCTCATGTTTATAAATTATACAGGGCAGGGATTTAACTCTTCTGGACCTACCTGTTCTGAAAAGAGGGAGGGTCATAACCCTGTTGCCACACCAGGCACCTGCCTTGAAAGGAGATGAGGTGTAAACTTGGAAGTTCTTTACCACTTTTTAAAAAAAAATTTTAATGTTTATTTTTGAGAAAGAGAGACAGAGACACAGCACAAGCAGGGGAGAGGCAGAGAGAGACGGAGACACAGAATCTAAAGCAGGCTCCAGGCTCAGAGCTGTCAGCACAGAGCCCAATACAGGGCTCGAACTCACAAACCTCGAGATCATGACCTGAGCCGAAGTGGGATGCTTAACTGACTGAGCCACCCAGGCGCCCTGAGTTCCTTACCACTTTTAGAAATCCAGGGCAAATACAGAGATTTCCCTTTATGATGCAGTCATTGGAATAACCAGATAGTTGCCTGCCACAAAGAAGCACTGGCTTTACCTAACCTCCTGAAGGCTGTTTGGAAACTATAAGTTCATTCAAAAAAATTTTTTTAATGTTTATTTTTGAAAGAGACAGAGACAGAGAACAAGCAGGGGAGGGGCAGAGAGAAAGGGAGACACAGAATCTGAAGCAGGCTCCAGGCTCCCAACTGTCAGCACAGAGCCCGACCCGGGCTCCAACTTTCGAACTATGAGATCATGACCTGAGCTGAAGTCAGAGGCTTAACCCACTGAGCCACCCAGGTGCCCCACAAGTTCATCTTTTTAACTGAGTTTCAGAATCCTGTCTTGATTATATGATGTAATAATAGTATGTTTCCAGTTCACCTGTGCCATATTGTTTTTTCATTATGGTAGTTGCTCTTGCTGAAGGGGAAAGGTTACTGCTTTAGATAAATGAGAGCAAAGTAGAAAAAACTTCTCGCACCGGCTACCTAAGTTAGCCGGCTATCAAGTCCTTGATTTACATGTTTACATGCGATCAAGGGTTCATCTAAGTTCATTGGGGTTTAGAAACCTAGGCCTTGATAGAAAAGTGGGTAACTTTTCCATTCAATCCTGGAGTTCTAGCATTCCAAGAAATTGTTGCCATCCAAAGGAAAGGAATGGGGGGAGGGGTAGCAGGTGTCTTCTTTTCTTGGTTCCTCCGTTTGAAAAGGGCAATGTTTTCAGAGTTAAAGTAACTGGCTTGTTCCTATGGGGTGAGATTGAACCCTTCCAAGCCACGGGAGGGTCGGGCTTTCCCTGCCAAAGCATGCCCTTCTCCCCAGCTGCGGGAGTTGGCCAAAGGATGGAAGTCATCTTCAAATGCGTCCAACCCACTGGACCTAGAGGGATTCCTGTCGTTGGCAGAAAGGGCCGAGTGGATTCATTCGGATGAGATGCATTCCAAGAATGCTTCTGTGGTCGGCAAGAAGTGGAAAAATCAGGGATAACAAATATTCTTTGGAAACCTAATAGGTACCAGAATCGCAGAACTCAAACAAACAGGTGACAACGACTTAAAATATGAGGCAACTGGAGCTCGGTGAGGGTGAGAGTGAGCGCACACTCTGCCCTGTTCTGGGGCTTCGACACTTTTCCCAGTCCTCCTCCTCCCCTTGTCTTTCCTGGGATCGACAGCGTTTACTGGTGAGGAGGCTCCGTGGAGAGGGCGGGTTGAGATCGGCTCTGCGCGGCTCAATCCAAACCAAACACCTCGCAAGCCTACGTTCAGCAGGCGATACCGAGCACCACACTCACGTTTGGGGGAAGAAAAAAAAAAAAAGCCA